CAGTCCTATATTGATTTTCTGATTCATTTTGAACAAGGGGACAAGGGGAGCTCACATCTTTCCAGTTATTCCAAAATCCTAAACGTGTCACCATAGCTGAGGGCTTGGCTGGACCAGTGGATCCCCATAAACACAGTTAAACTGGATGTATGGAAATAGTATAGATTCCAAAATAAAGAGCAGGGAGATGAGGCAATCTGTAATACAATAAATGTATGTGTTTCTTAATAAAAATGTAAGGTAAAGAGTTTCCAGTAGTATATTTTCATGATCATCGCGATAATAATGGGTTTTGCAATTGTTTTGGCCAAGATAACCGTGACATGAAGTTTTCATATATGTTTTTATATGAAATATTAATGTATATATCATGGCCCATACTTATCACCCTGCTTGGTTGTTTCTGCTACTTTCTTCTGGTGGAAGGAAGGAATTTAAACTGGACTGCCACCTTTAAGTATGTCTTTAGGAGTGTGTATCGATGTTTGTGACTTCCTGCTGGACAGTTAGAGGGTCCCATTGATTTTATTCTGAAAGATCACTCTGCTCTCTCCCTGACATTTCCCGATAAGGGCTGAACTTCAGAGCTGACATTTAACTGACATGAAAGCATCATTCATTTAGCAGATTGGCCGTGCCACATACAGCGTCCCACTCGCCCATCTCTTGTGTCCACGGCTGCACCGGCTGCCCACAGGCATGTTAAGAGTTGGTGATGTGTGAGACAGGAGGCGTTGACTGCAGATACACCCCCAGTGCCAATCCATTATATTTGATCATGTACATGATATCACATATATCACCAAAAAGACCCTGCGATCACTCTTTTAGGTTTTAGGTAGCTTTTTTTTTGGTTACACATGCCTTTGTGGCAATGCCTCTGATGTTTCTCATAGGTTAGGAACATGTATTAATTCATAATATCTGTGGTCTTTACAAATTGATTACACTGAACCTTGGGTCATTTCAGCACCACGGGACAGGTAAATAACAGAACACTACGTAATAATGACAAAAGCAACATGTTGTGGATATTACAGTGAATTAAGGTCGTCTTTGTTATACTAATGCTAGTATTAGTACATTTTCACATAGAGCTGAAATGATTCATGGATTGAGTAGTTGGTAATTAATCATCATATTTTGATAACTGATGAATTTTTTGAGTCACTTTTCAAGCAGAAGGCAAACATCAGCCGGTATCAGCTTCTTAAATATGAGTATTTGACCTTTTCTTCTTTGCTTTTTTGCTTTTTGTCAATTGTTATTATTGTTTGGCATTCGGACTGTTGACATTGTTGTATATGTGTCCTTTGCCTTTGGGAAACCAATCTTTATTTGTGTTTTTCACCCTTTTTTTTTTACATTTTATACACTGATTACATCGGAAATTTTAAGTTACACAAACTTTATAAGTTAAAAACACTGATGAACATGATTAAGCAGCTCTTACTAATGACTTTAAGTGACACTGACTTCATTTTCTGAACTTTATTTGTACTGTGAATACCATGTCAAAAGTACTTTGTGAGAGAATGTTTCTGTAACTTGCAGGAACCAAGCTAGTGTCACTTAAAAGTTACAATGTACTTGTTTTGAGTTAAAATCACTTATCGAGGTACAGTGTAGTCAAAACAAATAATAAAGAAAACAATCGGCAGTTGCAGCCCTCTTTACAAGTTGTTTGCAGTTTAACGTTTTTGTGTAAGGGCCGTCTTGTCTTCGGTGGAATCTAAGCACGAGGGAAGACAATATGTGTTGCGGTTGCGAAGCTAAATCCAAGCAGTCCACCACTAAAGCTCACTGACACTTATCCTGAAATGCAACCTCCCCCCCACGTATGTGACGGCTCAGGTAAACCAATGCTGCAGCATTGTATGCAGGCACCGATCTGCGCGCCATCACAGGTGCCACATGACAAAGGGCTATACTACACCTCAACTTTCCCTCACATATCCGCTACGATGAGTCAGTACAGCTGTAGGCTTGATCCGACGCTCCTACTGAAACCTTTTCATCCACTTGCTTTAAGACCTATGGATGGGTCTAGTTTACCCTGAGTGAATTAGATTACTGCACCTCCTTTTGTCTTTGATTTATGCTACTATAGTGACTGATAAAGGCCAAAATCCGCTGCCACGTTAGCCTTGTTTAATAATCATTATGTAGCTTGAGGTTACAGTCGTGTACATGCTGTAATGGATAGTATTTACCAGCCTCTGTGAGTGTATGTGTGGGAATATGAGCGATGGGGAGCGCTACTGCCTGTGGGGGTCTGTTTTGTTTTCATTCACTCCCTAGTCTATTGTGTGTTCAGGCCCGCTGGCTGCCTCTGCACATTTTGTTAACATTTTGTTGATCCAAGATAGATGGTCGCCCTGAATCCAAGCGCTCAGTGTGAGGAATGAAAGGCACCAACAAGAGTTTCAATCTGGAATACAGGTTAGTGATTTGTTGGTTTTTCCTTGCTGTCATTTTCCGTCATTCTTCAGTTTGCTCAACGGCGTGATGTCAACCGGTTAATGAACATTATAAGCACTATGTTAACTAAGACTGGGTAATAAGTAGAGATTTCCTCTGCAATGAGTCACATCGGAAAGAAAAGTCCATTTCAAAGATTAGGGATTGTTCAAGTAGTGACAAACACTGCTGCAAAGTGCAAGCAGCAGTGTTTGTACAGTTGACCCCATCACATTGTCATATCCCTCCTCACAGCCAGCGGTATGTGTGCATTCTGTTTGTTATTGATGTTTCTGACAGTATCTTGAATATTGCACAACTGGTGTCCCTGTCTGGGTTCATACTGAAGTTGAGAATGCTGTTCCTTCTAAGGTGACATTGGCTAGGCAGGGTGTCTCAGGTAATGGAAACCTCAGGAGCTGCTGTCTGCTGGCTTTCAGTCATTTGTCGTTTACCAGCCCCTTTCTGTCCACCTCACCTCCGGCCCCATGCGGCCTCTCACTGTCCACCCGCCTCTTCCTTCACAGTGAGCCTGCCCCAAGCACACGTGTAGAGATCTTAAAGAAAAGGAAGTGTGTAATGGTCTCAGCAGAGGCACAATGACTCGAGGGGGAGAAAGGGGAGACGAGAATGGCTTAGAGATGTCAAATGGATTGTCTACCTCAGAGTCAAACGGATTAGAGAAGAAGAGAGACTCCCTGAGGTCTTGAGGGGCCTCTGAAATCTCACAGTACAAAATGTATGCTTTACCTCAAGTCACCCATGGATGTAGTAGTATTTGGTGATATTCAAATATATAATGAGATGATTTAAGATGTTGTCAGTGTTTATATTGTGAAAAATCTTTATTTGTGTAGTATGTAAGTGTATATGTATATATATATATATATATGAGGTTGCGGTTTGCACTGGTGTTGAACTGGACTGCATTATATTGGTGTTTTTAATGTTTTGCCCACCTCATTCACATACAGTACAGGCAGGGGGATAGGGGAGGCTGTATAACACCACCACCAACTACGACCTCAGCAATAAACATACAGTGGAATGATGTGTCTCTAAGAAAGTGTTGAGGGTAAAAGGTACTATCTGTGGCAGAGCTGCTGTCCTGCATTGCATTATGGCTTGTGCAGTGTGTAGGCAGTGTGAACAAAGTCTTGGATTGTACGTACCTAATAGCCAAGTGACCCTAAAATGGTATTCTGGACAGCCCCTTGTGGGAATTTAAAAAGATACTGGTCTGTTAACAATTTCATCTCTTACTGATCAGCATTGTCAATCAGGATTTTCAACATGTAGAAAACAACTGCGCTATTATTAAAGTAGAGACATGTATATCTGCTGCAATACGAAATTGTGTAAAGCTATTTATGGTCTTCAAGAGTACCCGAAGAAGAACTGTGAAGCGATCGTTACCTGCTATGATCTTTATAGTACACTACAAATTCACCATTGGTCTGTACATAAACAGGCCAGAGAAATGGAGCTGAACCGTGCCGACTGAAAGTAGATCACCATACTGGAAGAACTGAACAGCGTGGCA